AGTTTTTTAGCTTGGGCGATTTGGTTTGGAAAACAATACTTCCTTTTGATTGCAAGGATCTAATGTATGGCAAGTGGTCGCCCAATTGGGAAGGGTCATATGTGAATAGTGTATTGCCTAATGAAGCCTATCATTTAGAAGATTTAGACGGCACTAAGCACATGAGATTCATTAATAGCAAATATTTAAAAAAATATGTTCCTTCCTTATGGTAAAGTGAACAAATAAATGTATAAATAAGTAACAGTGTTGAGCAATCATAAGTAAATAATACAAGAACGAAATGCGTTCAAATAAATTCCTTTATTGTCAAATACTCGTTACAAATTATGAGATATAAAATACAAGATACTCTATAAGCTACAATTGGAAGCATTTTGTCATCATTCTTCTATAAATCACAAAGAAAATGGGTGAACTAGCCATGATCGCCTTCCTAAATGCATTGTTGCAATGGCAAGCAAAAGGCTGAAAAGCACTCGCAAACTACCTTCCCAAATGCATTGCTGCAATGGCTGGCAAAGAGGCTGAGAAGCACTCTCAATAAGCTAAGTAGCCCGAAAGGCATTCGCAAATTGCCTTCCATCATTGAACTCCATTTGGAGAATATAAATGGAGATGCTGAGAAGACCTTTATTGGTCAAAGAACATTTCATATATCTCCCATACCAAAAGTGACATCAAGGTAGACAGCAAAATGGACAATAGATCAAATGATCCATTTCCATCGAAGCGGGAAGTGATTGATCAGCTATATGAGATGCCAAACAATGGCAAGCAAGTTGGTATTTTGGAAGAAAAGAATGAAGATGATAAGTGCGGAACACATACGCATTTATAGAGGTGTGAGGTGAAAGGATATAATATGAATGGCCACATACACGCATAGTAACTGAGATTAAATGGCCTAAAGTCTTGGAAAAGAAGATTGGAATACCAAATTTTTTGCTCTATGTAAACATTCCGTGAAGGGAAATGTACAGGAGCTTAGCATAATGTAATTAAATGTTTGGGAGGTTGACGATTGAAGAAGACGTCA